AACGAGATTTTTTAATTTAAATAATAAATTTGAAATATTTTTTTATTAAAAGAAAATTAGTATAAACAGAATGGGACACATGCAGTACTATATTACACAATTTTAATACTAAATTATTAATATTGTATCTGTTAATATGTTTACTCAGAAATAAAGAAAAAAATATACAAAAAATTTTACTTGTATGCTATCATGTATACGTGTTATTTACATATAATTACGTTCAGTGGTGTAATCGAGCCTTGGCGGAATCTGACGGCGCCAGAATACTTTTTTTTAGAAAAGTCTGGTGACGCCAGGGTACTTTTTTCAGAAAGCCAAGCTTGGCGGTGCGGCGCCAAGATTCTTTTTATATAATTATTTGAAATTAATTTTTTTAGTTCATATAATAAAGCGATAAAGAAGAAAAAGATGCTTTTACATATTTATTAAAAAACAAAGATAGAATAAGGTAAATAAGAATCAATAAAAAACATAGATATGATCTACAAATCATTGCATATGATGCAATATATTTAGTTAATAAATTAAGTCAAATACAATATACTAATCAATTCTACATACAAAAATAAATTAAAAATTAAAAAACTAATTGAAAATTAAAAATTATAAACATGACGTTTCGGCTCTGTATTTGAGCCGCATCCTCAGATGTCACAATATTAACATTATTAACGCAATAATAAGTTATGTCGAATAAGAAATTGTAATAACGCAGGAAGTCTAAGTTGTGTCGAATGAGAATTATAAACGATCATGTCCGGTAAAATTGGTTATTTTCTTAGAAGAAATAACCATAACATAACTCATCAAGCGATTGGATGATCGAATGTGAAATATCCTTGTGGCTCCTTTTGAGTGTAGAAAATCCATGTCGGTAAAATAATCATCAAAAAATGTTATATCGGTGACAGTAAAATTGTGTTCATATTACAAATGTAATTCGTTAACAATACTAGAATATTTTTAAGACATTACAATTGATAAATAATAATAAACTAGAAGAAGAAAGCCATTTTACGGTCGAAGCTGGATCACAGTGCTTATTATAATTGTGTGAATTTTTATATACTGCGTATGTAGTCCCCCCATAAATCGCGACGCTGATAGTTTTTCAGCATTGATGCATACATACTTACTACCGCAGTAATGTCACTTACAAGTAAACCTACCCTTAGGTGAACACGTATATTTTATTATTTTGTTTATATAAATAATTGGGGGAGAAAAAAAACGTATAGTTAATAATTATAGTTTTCAAAAGTTTTTTACGCGCTATGTCAAACGAGCGAATTTAGAGGTAATTACCCCCTCCCCTCAATTATCTATAAAAATAAAATAATGAAATATACGTGTCCTTTAATTAACTTGCTTCTTCATGTTTTAATAGTTTTTGTTTCGATCGGATGAAAACTGATTTTTTTCACAATAAAAGTAGTCATTTTGGGGGTAGTATACCACCTAATTTTCATCCTCCCTCCAAGACGTCTAGGCCGATATTCGTCTTCTACCGAAAGATACTTTTCTACCAAAAATCATTAAAATCGCTTCACTATCCTCAAAGATATCGCCATTTTTCCACTTTCGCCCCAATTTTGGGGGGGCTGTTTCACCCCCTAAAAGCGTTTTACCGCAGCTATAAAAAAATACGTGTCTCTTAGTTTTTCATGTTCTATAACATATCCAAAGCGCAGCAAAATCGGAGATTAACACTTAGGTAGGTTTACTTGTTAGTTAAATTGACAAGCAATCTAACAATTTTTTATGCTTATAGCATCTTATTGGATCTTAATAATATGTTGAAAGACATATATTAAATTTAACGATGTAATGTTGAGGTAAAGATAAATCTATCTGAAATAATAAGATTGCGAAGAATATATCACAAAAAAAAAAATTCTAGTATTTGTTAAATCACGTCAGCCTGAAGAAAGACGTTATTCTCCTTTAGATAAATATTGCGAAGAATATTACTACGTCGACCCGCCATCAGAGGTCTATAGATGTTCGCAAAAATTCTCACAAGTGCTGAAATACGCGTATATCTGTATATATAGAATCTCGATTTAATAACTTAAACAGGCGTCTAAGGTAGGCTCCCACTACATTACCTTACTATGATGAGTCCAGTAGTGGAAGCCGGGACGAAACGCCAACTTGTGATATTCTTCGCAATCTTATTTTTCACAGATAGATTTATCTTTACCTCAATATTACATCGTTAAAATTTAATATATGTCTTTCAACATATTATTAAGATCCAATAAGATGCTATAAGCATCAAAAATTGTTAGATTGCTTGTCAATTTAACTAAGTGATATTACTACGGTAGTAAGTATGTATGCGTCAATGCTGAAAAACTATCAGCGTCGCGATTTATGGGGGGACTACATACGTAGTATATAAAAATTCACACAATTATAATAAGCACTGTGATCCAGCTTCGACCGTAAAATGGCTTTCTTCTTCTAGTTTATTGATATTTATTAAAACCTGAATTTCGATATGACATCATAGCGATAGCATAGCTAACGAAAGCATCCAAACACAGTACATAGTATATATAGGCCCGTATTCAGAACGCGCTTACAACGATATAGCGCTCTAATATGCTATAGTTTACGTTACGCATACTATAGAATTTTAGAGATAAAAGCGCGCTTTTATCAATAAAAACGCGTTCTGAATACGGACCATAGATTTTATTTAAAAGGATCGATTGCTCGTGGATCAATTGATTTCGATTGCGCCTCGCACGACTATATTAATTCACTCCTATTCAGTCATATAATACTGTATGTATGTACGCATACCGTGTGTACGCGTATTTACGTGATTTTCAAATCCATGGGAAACAGGATCGAGTTCTAATATACAGTCTGTCTAGTAAGAGCGTGACAGGCCTATCTCAAAGAAAAATAAGACTTATTAGCCTTAAATTTATATTGATTGTATTCAGTAGGATTATGGTTAAAATGTAATTATATTAATAAAAGAAGTCCAGTCACCAGCTGCGTCTATGATAGACCGGCATCTCCGAGGCATACTTTCCACTACAGTCTGTCTAGTAAGAGCGTAGCAAGGCTTACCCACGAGTAAATATACACTCTGAATTTTTATTTTCGCCGATAGGTGTGTAACCTTGAATGACCTTCAATTATAGGTCATTGTATTTGTCCTAAAATGCTCTCTCTCTCTCTCTCTCTCTCCCCCCCCTCTATCACAATATAAATAAAAAACCATAGTGGACAAGTAAATAATTGTTTGTTAATATTTATGTTTTCTTCGAAGTTTTTCTGAATGTTCTGGACATTTTTGCTTATTTAATGCTGCCTGCAACTCTTCGGTATGTATTAAGTAGTTTTATATATTTTATAATTTATATAATCAATTTTAATTTAAGTTTTTATTTCAGTTATTTATGAACTATATTAAAATGTAAATCAAATTATAAACAATAATATAAGTTTAATATATGTGGTTTAGTAATAAACGAAGGAATTAGAAAAGAACCACGACGGTGGATGGAATTTTCGAGAATATAATGTATTTCGTAAAACGTTAAACCGAAATTTTTAATTATTAGTAAACGATTCGACCTTTAATCTGACCATCATCGGTAAAATGAAGAAATTAATTTTTAATATATTGCGAAGAATATTACTTAATTATGGCGTTTCGTCTCAGCTTCCACTACTGGACTCATCAGTAAGGCATTGTAGTGGAAGCCTACCTTATACGCCTGCAAGAGTTATTTAATCGAGATACTATATAAAGAGATATACGCGTATTAAAGCACTTGCGAGAATTTGCGAATATCGATAGACCTCTGATGGCGGGTCGACGTAGTAATATTCTTCGCAATATTTATTTTATTTTAGTAATATATGTATTACCCCCAACTCCCCCCTAACTTTGCGCGCCGAACTATCGTCGGTCTTGAAACGCAACCCTATTTAAAAAATCCCCCCAACCCGAAACTCTAAATGAGTGACTTAAGACACATGTTAATGCTCGTGTAAATATAAACAATAATATAAGTTTAATGTGGTTTAGTAATAAACGTTAGGGGGGAGTTGGGAGTAATACATATATTACTAATGTTAAATATTGCGAAGAATATTATTACGTCGACCCGCCATCAGAGGTCTATGATCGATATTCGCAAATTCTCGCAAGTGCACGCGTATATCTCTTTATATGTATATAGTATCTCGATTAAATAACTCTTGCAGACGTATAAGGTAGGCTTCCACTACAATGCCTTACTGATGAGTCCAGTAGTGGAAGCTGGGAGAAACGCCATAATTAAGTAATATTCTTCGCAATATATTAAAAACTAATTTCTTCATTTTACCGATGATGATCAGAGTAAAGGCCGAATCGTTTACTAATAATTAAAAATTTCGGTTTAACATTCTACGAAATACATTATATTTCCGAAAATTTCATCCAGCGTCGTGGTATTTACTCTTTCCTAATTCCTTCGTTCAAATTATAAATAAAATACATATATACAAGAAATATGTACACATGTAGATACACATTTAAATTAATAATAAATATATATTTGTATCTATATTTTATTTCATGCTTTTTTTTTTGTACATTTTATGACCCTATTAATACATTTATGATCCTATAGTGTATTAAATGTTACATTTTGCCAGCAGGTGTCAGTACGTTTTAAAGTTTTATAATTTTTGTCGCGGCAATACTGATTATGTATAATTTAAGAAATAAAAATATCAAATTCTTAAAAATGCTTTTATTTTGACTTTTTTCAAGTGAAATATTTTTCTGTACACAAAACTTTATAAAAGATGTTCCGATATTTTTAATAATAAAATAACATTTTTTTCAACATTTTCGAATATATATATATATTACCAGGATTTCTCATTTTATCTTGTTTATACTTTAACGATAAAATATTGCATAAAATGCATAACGTTTTAATGCACGATAAAATATTATTTTTTCAACAAACACAATTATTTTATGACACTCTATGATAAAGCTTCCTTAATAAATTCAAGAACAAACTATGTGGAAGCCCGCGTGATATCTGTTGTATATGTACATTTAGTAGATTATATGTTTCTTCTTCGTATATAGAATAAGTATTTGGTAAACCAAGATCAGTGAAAAGCTGTTTCACACGTCTTACTTTCTCCGGATCCGAAGAGCCGTAACATTCCTGCGTAAAAAAGAAAAAGAATTAGTACAACAGTATTTCATGAAACAACACATTTAAATCAACAATACTCACTTCTAAAATTTTGCGCTGCTCCGGAGTGGCACGTTGAAGAGCTACGACAATCAGCCAGGTACATTTGCCTTCTTCTATATCAGTATAATCCTTGCCATGGATACTAGACTCTCCATAACAACCTAAATAATCATCTTGCACTTGGAACAAATGTCCCATTTCTAATAAAATAGTTTTTGCTTGTCTGAACATCTCTGGATCTTTTATTCCGGCCTAGATCAAGTAATGTGCAACAATATATTCTTATTATGAAAACAAATCAGTCTTTCATGTATAAGAAAAATGGGTAATTGTTCACTTTAGGGGAGCCACCTCCAATGACCTTGACCTTGACATATGTTGTCAAGGTCATGACCCTGAGTAACCTCCAATAAGGTTTAGCCGTCGCTCGCCCTTCGTTAAAAAGTTATGAAAAATTAAGTTTTAAAAATAATGTATCATTTCTACAAAGGAGTGTATAGGGTGTATAAAGCGACATAGAAGTTGCAAGCTCCTTCACAGAGAAAGAAATGGGGTGAGAGTCGCTTTACGTGAATGCAGTAGGTTCCGCCCCCTACGGGGGGCTCCACGACTGTAAAAAACAACCAACCCAACCTATTTAGTGGTATGAAGTAGCTCTCGCTTTGCGTAGAAAGTCGAAACCTTAGAGGTCGAAACCCTCGTACAACATAACAGTACAATTATAGAAGTCGTATGTGTAGATACAGTAGGTTCCGTCCCTCCCTGCGGGGGCTACACTACTGTTAAAAATAACCTAACCCAACCCATTTAGTGGTGTGAGATAGCTCTCGTTTCGATGTGCATGAAGTTAGCACCGCCATTTTGTTAAAAAAAAATAATAAAATTTGTGCTGAATTGTGCTAGATTTGTGCTACATTATGCCGCAAGAATTAATGACATAACTAAAAAAAAGCACAAATCTAGCACAATTCAGCACAAATTTTATTATTTTTTTTTAACAAAATGGCGGTGCTAACTTCATGCACATCGAAACGAGAGCTA